CGCTGTTGTCTTGCTGCCTTATAAACCCCGCCCACTGACAGGTGGCTGTAACGACCTCATCAGTGTGATTCACTTCACCTGTCAGTGGTCACAATCTTATGACTGATCGGTGGAAATGTCAATAGTCAGAATTCCTATTGGCATTACATTTGAGTAACAGACGTGAGCACCTGATTTTCAAAAAACAAAACAAAACAAAAAAGCCAATTTTTTTATTGTAATGACCAGCCAAAAATGCTAAGAACCACTGGTTTAATCTTTAACAATGCATCTTATTTTACAGGCTTGTTATACAGATGTTTTAATCTGCAAAGCGATGAGTAGCTATACTGTCAACAAATGTAGTGAAATATAAAAATAAATAAATAAATAATACTGTACAGAATTTGCCTTTTAAAATGTAAAGAGTATCAATACCCAAGTAAAAAAATAAATAAATAAAACTAAAAAAACTAAATTGTACCATTGCATTAGCAAATGTACTTTTCAGTGCAGCACATGTGTACTATGTTTGAAATCTTTGGCTTTTCTCTTTACTAAATGTTTCTACATTAATTAAACTAAACCTGTTCTAGATTAAACTATTACAGTGTATGGAAAACACTAGAGCACAGACCAAATAATTGTCAAATATTTATTCAAAATCAAGACAGTACAGACAATACGTACGTTACTTTGAAGAACCAGGCAACTGTAATTTATAGTTAAGATACAGTATATTGTTATCTCAACTTATTAAAGGTATAAGTTAAGATATTGTCAGGTGTGTTACAGCAATTAAATGTCTTAATTTTATTTGCCTACAGTTGAAGGCATTGTAGAGTAACATGGAAAGTAACTTGTGTGTAAACCCTACATGTTTGACACAGACTCTATATCTAAATATCAAGGAAATGTCCAAGCAGGTTATATACAAAGCAATCTGGGCTTGAAAATTTTAAGCATACAACAAAGTTTTACCAACAAAATCTCACTAGTGGAGTTAGATGGTTTCATTTGTATATTGTTATTTACTGCTGCAACTGAGAAATGTTCGTATCTTGACATATACTAAAAATTAATACAGTGCTGTACATTTAAAAATGGCCCATGTTAATATAAAAGCAATTTCCTAGAATTATACAATACATTAAATAAAAATGACTCAGCTTGTGTTACTCTGAAAACCTACAGTGGCACATTGTAATTGTACAAAAGCAATTTCTCAGCTTTCAAGCGGCTGATGTAACACAGTTAAAAATATTAACACACAGATCCTTTAGCACTTCAGGAGCAGCAGAGGTGTTTTTGTCATGACCGTGTCATCCAACTGCTTTCTCCAGTGGGCTTTGTTTCAGGATTTAGTGGCTGAAATCTGAATTCTGTGTCAAACACATTTCAGGGTCTGTAAAATTACACTTTTCAGGAAGGTATGTATACACAGTAACTCTTACTAATCCTCTCCCTGGGCAGTTTGCAGTAGTGCTTCTTACTGTTAGATGATGTAATCCCCCTCAAGATGGCAGTGTGGCGAATTATCTATGACTGGATCACCGACAAGCTTTCTCCTCTCCTTACCTGCCAGATCATCACGTAGTTGAGGGTAGTTGAGGTGAGAACTCTCAGACATCAGATGAGCTAAGAGCTTAGAGTCGTCAAAGAATGGACCAGGCAAACGATGTTTGTGTGACAGAGTTAATAATAGCCTTGGTTGCTTTCAATGATTTTCTGCTCCAGCTTCATTTTAAGCTCTGACACTAAAGCAGAGCTGATATTTCCCTCTTTACGATGACTAAACTTAACTTTCTTTGAGCCTTTGGAGGCCAGCGCACCAGATATTGTTGGGACCATGTGGGGCCTCTCACTTGGTCGAGTGTAAGACAGGGGAGCAGGCGGCAGACAAGGAGCACTGGGGGTTGGAGGCTTCTGCCGGGGGCTGCTGGTGTCCCATTGGGGGCTGCTCTCTGGGTCACTGATGAGGAGCTTGTCTGCAGGGTTGCCAAATTTGATAACGGGCATCTTGAAGGTCCTGGGCTGCCAATCCCTTGGTCGTCTCTTAATGATGCGACGTGTCGGCATAATCCTGTTGGACTTTGAGTTGCGCATGTACATAGCCGTAGAGATCAAGACAGTCAGCCCTACCAACGTGCTAATGATAAAAGTGACCATACCTAGAGCTTTCATAGGATTGTCCCTACTTTTCATTAAAAAGGCTGCCATAGGCCCCTTGAGAGGAGTCTGTAAAAGAGCACAAATAAAATAGTTTAAATCGAGTCCAAGGGACAGAATCCAAGCGTTAATGCAGCATTTGTCCAAAGCATGCAAGCATTAGAGATGGCTGAGCAAAGCACTGGCAGAGGAGGCCCAAACAAATTGCCTATCAGTGATATAACACTTCCACACTCAGTCATCTGTTTTTCTTTGTCCCATAGTACAGGACTGCTGATGCAAAAAAACTAGGCACAGTGCTAGTTGTTGGGAATGCATCTGACAGTGTTGTGCCTTGGGATTTTTTCTTTGGCATGTGACTGATGAGGGCTGAAAAATAATGATGACCTAAAGCCAAAGCACAATGAACTGCATGATTACATGAGAAAATTAGAGATTAATTGAACAAATCCAGGTTTAAACCCCAAGTTAACTGCTCCATCTGAGTCTCTTAGACCAGCCAAATACTCTGAGTAATGCTCTAAAAAAGTATCTTTGATGATGAAACTTTTCCATTTACAGTATTGTTCAATCAAAAAGCAAAACTAAAAGGCAAACAGAAAAAATAGTCATATTATTTCTTCAAATGTGCTCAGTACTCTTTTACAGACAATAATCAACCAGTAAAAAAAAAAAGAAAATCTTTTTAAAAGTTATGAATTATGAAAGCATCTTGCATTCATCAAAAAAAAGACAAAACCTGGAGGATCTCATAGTGATGACTTACTATCTCATAATTGCAAGAACCTAATCTCATAATTACAGAAAAGATCTCATCATTACAAGATCATATCATATTTCATAATTACAAGACAATGCATGGGTTGGAACGCTGCAGAACTGGCCATCAGGTTTAATGAATTCTTTAGTATCCAAATAATTTAGTGATAGTTGTAACCGCTGTAAGAAGTCTATTGAAACAGATATTTATTAGAGCTGCACGATAAATTGTTTTGTGAGTGTGATTTAGATCCCTGTGCAATCTCAGTCTCATGTGACAATGATTCTCCCGTGTTTATTACAAGGGCCTTGTAATTATAAGATCTGGATCTCATAATTACGAGATCCTTATAACTATGAGCCTCTTCTCGTAATTACAAGATGAGATAAGATTCTCCAATTTTTTTTCTTTGGTGAATGCAATGTGCTTCCGTAATAAATGAACAATCTACAGGTCCCAAATATTTCTTACTTGACTCTGCGGGCCACCTTAATATAGTTACTCTCAGGGTTGATCCTGGACTTTTTCACTGCGTTACAGTACAGGACTGTGGATATGCATATTGTTAGTAAAATGAGGGAAGTGATCATGCTCAAACAAATTCCAAAAACCGTCACTGGACGCTTGCTGAGGCCAATGATGTACGAAATAATTCGACCTTTGATCTGAAAAGCACGATACACGACACAGAAACAAAACCAAATACACTGAGTCATCTCACCATGTAGAGTGAAGGAATGAATGCATGATGTCAACATTGTATGATGAAAACTGAAGTTAATGTAAATGAAAAATGGTTTTATTTGATCTGTTTTTACTTTTAAATCAATAAATCCCCTGTATAGACCAAAAATCAACCTTGAATTTATCTTGTGACTGGGACACTGGAACATTTTTTGCTATTTTGTCCAAAAAAGAGCCATGTCACTGCATCAGGTGGTGGTATATTCCTTCATTATAAAGAACATGGCCTGTGTAGTTTATTATGAAACAATGAGTCAAGCAGACATTGCTAAGCATTTTCAGAGATGTGGTTCTGTGTTTGTGCTGCTGAGGGGAATAAACTACATTGGCCTTGTTCATTGTAAAAAAAAAAAGGAATATCACACACAGATACAATAGTATGACTGTGTGTTTTTAAAGCTGCACCAATCAACAGCCAGTTGTTAGGAAGCAAACAAAGACCACAATACTTTGAGTTTCATAACACATTTACTGTATGGTTGTCTCAATGCTCTCATCAACCTTGTGTCCAGCAGCAGTAGGCTGCTGTTGTCAGCAAAAAAGCTGAAACAAACCCCCTGAACACTACTTGCCCATCAACAAGAGGCAGAAGTTAAAAATCGGCTGATAGTAAAGGTGGAACTTGCAGAAGCTTCAGAGCCAGATATTTTCTCTGAAGATGGGGGAGACCAAAATTGAGCTAAAGGCAAGTGGATATTGGATTTCATTCATCAGGTGGCCAGAAACACATGACTCTAAGTGAATGTCAGTGTTGTTCCATGTCTTCTGGCTGTGTATATAAGTGCTTTCTTACACTGGCATGCTTCTTAACCATACCAACTTAACGAGTATCCTAAAAACCGGTTAATGCAGCTTTAACAGCTTTGGACAATAAATGATTAGCTTCATCAGGCTGTGATCACACAGATATCACTTAGTAGGATAAATTCATGGTTGGTTTTGATAGGAGTCAGTGATCATAATAAAACCATAAAAATTACCATCCTTTAAAAAGATGAGGTCAATGGAAATGTAACTGGCTGAAGCAAGGATGCTGAATTAGCAGCTGCATAGCATGAACACAACGCCTACTATCATATGTAAAACTGTTTTAAGCTACAGCTCAGGCTGGGAAGAGAAAATGCTGACAGCATGCTACGAGTCAGAGCAGGTCTTACCGCCTCAGTGATATCGATATTGACCACTGCTGTTGTGCTGAAGGATGGAGACCCTTGGTCCCTGGCCTGGACCACCAGAGACCATTTGCAGTCCTTCTGCTTGGTGATGTTCTGCACAATCTCCATGGACTTGATGTATGGCTTCAGCTTGATCTCGCCAGTGTTGACGTTGATATCAAATGCGTTGTCGGGATCAGCTGTCATGATGGAGTACTCGATGACGTTGTTTGGTGACTCTGCATCTTCATCCACTGCCTGTAAAAGGTAAGAGAACAGCACAAATTGGTTGCATAGTTCAGTCATTTCAAATGCTTGCATAATAGATGATATATCATTTCAGAAGAGAGGTCAGGGACGACGCTGCCATGATTCATTTGATGTTGAGTTAAGTATATTGTCACACCTCAATATAGCTGGAAATTATACTACTGTATAACTATCAATACTTTGACTTTATGTTAAAATATGTGGCTAGCTTTATTACACATTTTTATTATCAACAAATCCCATGAAAAGACAAAAAATAGCAATATGTTAGTTCAGCTTTCGTTACTTTATAATAACCCTGCTCTGTATGTGGTTCTCAGCCTTGAGCTGATTTTTTCCCACTTAAGTCTAAAAAAAGAAAAGAACATTATAGTTTTTACCTTATCTTACTCAAAAGGAGTAGCCATTTGTTGGGGACTATTGTCAGCTGCAGATGAATACACATTTGGTAAGCTAGCAAGAATTTACAGCACCAGGATGATCAAATTAGACTATGTTGTGTAATGAAGGAATATGTCACCCAGTACAACAGTGTGACTCACTCATTGTTATTATACAACAATGGAGTGCTGTCACACAGAGAACTAATGTATACTGTATATGACTTTGCATACAAAGACAACACTGGATGAATTGGTTCATAGTTGGTTTTGGTCCTTTGATAGGATTTGTGTGTGTACACAAATTCTAATTATCACAAACCACTAGTGTTTTTATCACACTGATTTCAAAACTGCCTTTCAGCACAAGGGTGAAAATACAAAAGAAAAACTAATATACCTCTACTCTGACAGGTGTCCCAATGATCATGGTCTTCTCCTGAAGTTTTTCATCAAATTCTGGGCAGTGGTCGTTCATGTCGAGGACGGTGACAAAGACTTCAGCCACGCTGTACTTTCCCTCTGAATCTTCAGCCTTGATGTAGAAGTTGTACTTTGACCTGACCTCCGCATCCAGGCTGGTCCAGGGCTGTGTGGAGATGAGGCCTGATGATGGGTGGATGGCAAACCTGCAGTTCAGAACAGCACAGCATGTGTGTCACACCTGTACATTCAGTGTCAAACACCAACGAACCGGGTGTTTCTAATATAGGCTTCCTAATTCAAAGCACGAGTGATATTTACATCACATCCTGTGAATCTCTACGTGACTCACATCAGCTGTTCAGTGTAAGAAGCAGATTTCCATCCTTTATCACAGGGATCATGCTGTAAAAATATACTATGATTACAAAGTGAATCCGTGTGACTTAACAATATGCAGTAAAAAAAAAAGTTTTATTTAGGTTTAGGTTAAGAGATACCAAAACTATCTTATCTATCTTTACCTATTTTTATAAAATCAGGATGTTGTTTGGTCTAAGGTATTGTGATGTATATAACATATAAAGCATTTCAGTTTAGTTTCTTCCTCCTGTTTCGTATGCTCCTTGAGGGTAAATAGTTTAAGTTATCAACATCACTAAGTCTTCATTTATCTCTAACAGGTTCCTGAGATGTGAGCCTATTTTAGCCTTAACAGTTTTCTGAAAAAGACTTTTTAATTTGCATTATCATACTGTATGCGATACAGTTTTCCTTTAGTTTTTTTGCCACTTTTTCTAGGCATGGGGTTATTTTTACTTGTACTGTCATTACTCTCTTTGACAAAATGAACAGCTTTAGCCCTGTTTTGATGTCATGCACACTCTTCTTCAAAATGCACGGCCACTAACCACAACTTTAGCCTAATTGTTTTGCACTGTGTGCATTTTTATGAAGATCTGGATCCACAAAATTTCTATTTTCTGACTTTGCACTGGTTGTCAGATATGATGATACGCCCCTTGCCATGTGATAGACTGCACCAGTGTTCACCAAGATTGTGTCTGGTCTTTTACCTTCAGAATAACTACCAAGATGTTATGGCATATGTATCTTACATACAGGCATACATACATACATACATACATTTCTACATTTGGTGTAGGTCTGTGCTTTCAGGGTGCTTTATAATTCAACATCAGACTTTCTTCTATTTTATTCAGCTGTCTTTTCTGTCTTGTTTTCCACTGTGAAAGTTCACAAGTTTCCTTGAAACTGATAACTTTCACGCAATTAACTCAGGTCGCTGCCTGCAGATGAGCATAAATTCTCACTTTTTCTTCACTACATGCTGCCTTGCTTTTCAAAGCTGCCGTTTCTGTGGCTCCAGCTGTCACATTGCACGTTAATTGGCTCTCCCTATGTGAGACGGGCCAGGCTGTCTATTTTTAACCCTCCAATCCAATTAGGAGATTAGCCAGCATCTTGCAGCCATTTTAGAGCGAGCTGTTAGTGCAGCAGAGGGGCCAATCAAATGGGTTTCCTGCTTACCTCTTCCATCAAAGAGACAAAGATGAATCAAGACTGATGTCCTGTTTACCGAGTTTACCAAGCACCCTGAGTATCTGAGCAGTCTTGAGTCATATCAACATAAAAACCGCACATTAGTTCAGGAAATGTGCTTTGTGGCAGTGTAGGAGTTAAGTATCTGATCAGATCGAACCTAAACTGGCAGGAGTGAAAGGCTTTTACTTACAAATCTGATCCAGATCCATAAATCATGTATTTGACTTCACCCCAAGGGCCTGAATCTGGATCATTTGCCTGGAGGGGGAAACAAATAGGAAAGAGATTAGAAGCCAAATACTTATAGCACATACAGTAAAGCATGTACACTAAACCAAGATTATCTACCAATCAGATTTATTTAATTTAATATAGTTAGCTAGGTTCTTAAACTCATGGAGACTGGGTGGGGCAAGCTATAAGTCTCTTCCTGTGTTGAGTGGGGATGGAAGTGTAGGTCAGCATGACCTTGGGGCAAAATTAAGCTTTTTACTCAAGACCGTATAACTTGGACACATTGTCTGATTGCAGGATGCATACAGTGTAAAGGCTGAGAAATGTGCCAATAGTTCTATTACTAATACCCCTCCCTGGGGTACAACACAAAGCACATGGAGACATGAATTTCATAACTAGGAACAACAAAAACAAAGCCAGGGACAGCTAAGCCTTTTGTCAGGCGACAAGCTGCTTTCATCTGATGAACCGCACTTGGATTGGTGCATTATATAATCACTTTGGTCAGGTTAAAGCAGAGGTTATTCATGGCTGACTCACTGTTACAGACACAATACTGGAGCCTCCAGGAGAGTTCTCTGGGATCCTGGCAATGTAATACTCGGATGTGAATTTGGGGATGTTGTCGTTTGTGTCCAGCAGGTTGATCACTATGTCAGCTGTTGCACTGAAACGCTCAGGAGTGTAGATTTCCAATGCCA